TGTCACTGATAGGATTGTAAAATCTTTTGGATGTGATGCTGCCAGAAACCGGCAATCCAAACCACCCATTGAGCAGATGAAACAGAAACGAGACCATCATTTGGACCTTCTTTGTCTAAGATTACGCCATGAGGCCACCTATACATTCTGTCAGCTCAATAATCACTGATTTCGCTTGACGACCTACTTGAAGGCATCCACTAAGCTTGGAAGGAATGAAGCTCCCCAACTAATTTATGCGGGAATTAGGATGAGTATTGAGAGTGCTACAGACGCCTTACCTGAAATATGCAATCCCTTCTACATCTCTGATGTCTTCATTAAACTTGCGCATTGCCTCCCTTGTTAACCCTTCAAATGCCTTCCCATCACCGCCTCCATTGGGTAAATAGTCGAGAAATGATACTAATGAGGGTATCCTAGCTTTTCCCAACGTTTCCAGGAAATAATCTGCAAAGTAACTTCCCCTATGCGGCGTCGCAATGGTTGTCACTGATAGGATTGTAAAATCTTTTGGATGTGATGCTGCCAGAAACCGGCAATCCAAACCACCCTGACACCATATCCCGAGTAGTTCAATATTTGCGACAAGTATACGTGGACAGACTACTGACCATGCTGTGTCCTACGGAAATCAGCCTTGACTTCAAGGTCATAAAAGAAATAACTTACCAATGAGATGTACGCTTCTTCCGGGATAGACCTCTGCAATCTTCTCCCCAAGAACCCTTGCTCGTTCCTCTACTCCAGACGTTGCAGGTACTTTTGTTACCAATACTTCGATGCCATTCTCTTCTAATACTTCCTTGATGCCACGCCAGTGGGTGATCTGTAGCGGGGCGAATGATGCTCCCAGAGATACGGAATCGAATCCCAGGAGTCCGTGACAAAAGACGATAGGGTTCTTTGGAGTAAGGTCTGACCACATGTCAGCAATGTTGTATATAAGAAAATACGAAACTCACATTTCTTTCGTATACCCTCCGCCTCCTCTTGTGCAGTGGCAGCTTTGTCGTCATCACCGAGCATTTGGTCCACCGTCTCCTTATTCCCGTCTTGAAACCACCAACGATTGACATTTGACACAATAGGGGACATTCCTGTAGATGTTGACGTCTGGATACCCCTATCTCGGGCAGTAAGACTCCTCAAAGAGTCTATAGATGATCTTGCATCTGTTCTAGTTACTCCCTGTACTGGCCGTGTGTATGAAGTAGGTGATGCAATAATCTTGGGCTGTATTGACAGCGGAGACGATGTCATGTTCAGTGGTTTGGTGAGAGAGGAAGTCGGCATCGAAGCTCTTGCTAGATTATCAAGCAAGACCGGATGACGAAATGGTTTACCCTCAGGGTGGGTCGCCATTCGTGCCTCTGGAGGCTTTCGTATCTTGAAGACTTCGTCAGATATGGCTTGCTTCAAAGCAGCACTCGCTTCTTCTTCAGAAATTTGGGTATCAGAGGCAGGCAAATCTTCTGATCGTCTCCCTATAGTAAGCTCGGCCTTTGAACTAGAGGCGGGCATGAGATGAGAGTCTGACGGTGCTCTATGATGATATGGTCCATTTGCAGTAGAAGATCCGCTGAGCCATCGTATCAGAGGGGGATTTCGCAATTGTTTAGATGCATTCGAAGATATGGATGCTACAGAACCGCGTCTGGACATGTCCGTAAGTTCACTTTTAGCGACTACTCCAGAGGAATCTGGCACGTGAGGTGAAGGAGGATGTGAGCGCTCTACTGAAGAGCGCGGAGAGGAAGTGAAGAGGGATCCAAGTCTGTCCTGAAGGGATGGTTTGGCGTCATTCGGACCAGGACCGGACATTACGCGGACCAGAATGCCAGTGGTAGCTGAAAAGAGAGAAATTCAGGAAGAATCAGGTGGCAAGCCATTTGTTGGATTCCACGTTGCCCATGGCTGGCAAGCAAATTCTTCCCAAATTTACAAGCGGAGAAATTGGTCTTAAGGATGGTCGGAATGTGTATCTGGGGATAGGTTGACAGCTCTGATTTGAATCAAAGTTACCACGACCAAGGAAGAAATTGCAGCAAACGGTGTCGGACGAAAAGCTACTCCGCAAGAGTGAGTTATACCCTCCGCTCCCATCATGAAAGACTCAAATAGGTAAATTTAGTACTCCTATATTCATCTGCCAACTTGACGGTATGAAGGTTCAAATGATGTATCCGTCGTTCTAAACCTGACACCCAGTAAGGCTGCAATCGCCTCTACCCGACTAGGGAGCGCCTTTCAGTTCACCGAAAACGGGACCACAACTCAGATGACGCGTATACGGATGTCCTGACATGGAACCAAGATGTTGAACAGTCTCAGGAGCAAATGCAAGAATGATTTGTTTCTAACCGGGGGTCATTTAAATAGTTTCACGAGATTAACGAGACGTGTAATGCAAAGGGGTGTATTACTTTGAGACTATCTTTCGTATTATTGTGATCTACACTTATTGCCAAGTGACCCAAGGTAAGAAAAAATGCTAAGACACGACAATCTATACAGATTCAGTGATGAAACGTATCAACATACAACAAAACATAACGAGTATCCAATAATCGAAGATAATGATAAGATATCAAAGGTGGGGACCCGCGGTTGTAAGCCTTCCGGACAGATAGCATGCATGGGAATAGACTGAAGTTGTTCTTCTATCCTGTTGTACCTTCTGCTCCAAGTAGATCATGAAGCTCAGCTAAACGACGCTGCTGCAATTCTTGTTTGCTAAGTGGTTTGCCTAGAGTTAATTTCGCCAAGTCTGCCTTCTTTTGCTGGACCTGAAGGAGACGTTCTTCGATCGAGTTTCGGATGATAAACTTGGTTGCCACGACGGGATTCACTTGACCAAGGCGATGCTTGAGGACATGTCAGTACATCCGTATACGCGTCATCTGAGTTGTGGTCCCGTTTTCGGTGAACTGAAAGGC